TTTAAAATTATTTAATAACCACGTATTTAGAAGAAGCATTTCACTACATCAGCATTGACATATCCAATAACAATTTCCTGATCTAGGATGCATCTCTTACAAAATTGGCTGTAAATTTTTAGGTTAACAGTTGAATTATTACAGTTATACAATATTGTACTCTGTATAAACCCTATAAAACATAAAATTAAATGAGGTTTTAACCTTTAAAAAAGATTTCCATTTCATTATTAAAATACAGAGTTTCATATAGAAAACTTCATTTTTAATGCAATTGACATTAAGATTTTTGCACATGTGTTTCTAGTCTCTATATATTATGTTATTACTAGTCACAGTCAGTTACTTTCTGACCTTGGCATCTGAGCATGGATATAAAGTCATCAGGTAGATTTCAATGATAATATTTTTCACATCTACTAATCATTAAGGAGCAAATTTTTATGCTTTGAAGAATTATTATTTTTTTTAATCATTACATTTTTCTTTTAAATTCAGTGTCCTGGGTTATCCATAGGGGGTTCTCCTTGTAGAACTCCTCTACAGGATTGGTGGGCTTTGCTGGGGACATAATGTTTTGGCTTTCCGTTTTATTATTCTTTCGTTGTGGTTTTGGCATGTGAATTTCTTTTGTTGTTTATGATTCTGATATAAGAATTAAGTTGAAGTATGCTTCTGTTTGTATTATCCGGGTGCCTAGATCCTTTCTTTATTGATTATGTAAAGCTGGTTGGTACAGGGTTCGGGTTCTTTCAGGTTTATTTTGTAGGGAACTGATGGCTTCAGGTCAGCTATTCAGGGGTACCCACAGAAGCCCAATTCAGATTCCAGTCAGGTACACTCAGGCTTCCTTCACCAGGTGGAGGCAGGATCCAGGGTCTCAACCCTATGCCAGAAGGAAGTTAGAGGGGGGCCAGAACTAGGCACTCTCTGGAGGTCTGCTGAGATCCCAGCCTTAGCCTACCAAAGCCAGATCTGCCCTGGGGCCTTGGGAGGGGCCTCACAGAATCCCAGGTAGGGGGATAGTATGGTGCAATTAGGGGAAGCTCACCGGCAAGTGGAGGCAGGTTCGGGGGGCTGTCAGGCTGTCCCCTGTGTTCTCAGGCCCTCTGGTAGTTGGAGGCCAGAGGGAGGCCAGAACCTCCGCACTCTCTGGCAGTCTGCTGAGCTCCCAGCAGCTTTCCAGATGCAGGAGATCCGAACCCCAGGTGGAGGATTCTTGATGAGGAGATTTTTATTTGATGTTTTGCATATTGAATACATTGGTCTAGTGCCTTTTGCCTGCATGTTTCTGCTGAGAAATCTGCCAGTTATGTTATTGCAGCTCTGTTGTATATAAAGAGCTATTTGTCTCCTGTTGCTTTGTCACTGGCTTCCAAAGTTTGCTCATACTGTATCTTGGTATAAATCTCTTTGAGTTCCTCTTACGTGGAGTTTGATGAGCTTCTTGGATATTTATACTCAAATCTTATCCAATTTTGGAATTTTTCAGCCATTGTTTCTTCAAGTAGTCCCCTTGTCCTTTATCTTTCACTTCCTGTCTTTGAACTCCCACATGCATCTGTTAGTCTGCTTGGTGGCTTCCCATAGGTTCCTTACATGCTCTTAATTATTCTTCAGTCTTTTTTCTTTCTGCTCCTCAGATATGATGACTTCTGTTATCTTACCTTTAAGTACTAATTGTTTATTCTGTTTGCTCAAATATGCCTTTGAATACTTCTGGTACATTTTAAAAATTCAGTTCCAGAATTTCTTTTTGGTTTCTTCTTAGGTTTTCTTTTTATTCTCTCTCTCTCCCTCTCTCTCTCTCTCTCTCTCTCTCTCTCTCTCTCTCTCTGGAGGGAGCCACGCCCTGTACAGCCTTATGGAGAAGGCTCTGTGGTAATCGAACCCTCTTGCCAACAGTCATATGAGTGAACTTTGAAGTGGATCCTCAGTTCTAGTCAAGTTTCAGCCCCAGCTGCCACCTTAACCTCCCATCACCTGAGAGCCTGAGTCAGAACTAGCGAGCTTAGCTACTCAGGAATTGTAAGAAATAATAAATGTTTGTATTTCAAAACCCCTATGTTTGAGCATAATATGTATTATACAAACAGATAACTAATGCTTTGGGGTGGGTGGACATCAGCTCGTAATTTTGTAGCTTAGAAATTACTGTTAAGAATTTAGAAACATTTTCTCTATTTTCCTGTGCTTTACAGATAGTTTATTTTTATTTTATTTTATCTGTTAATTTTATTTCTGTGTATGAGTGTAGTACCTTCATGTATGTAAGTGTACCCATGCCAGACAATGCCCCCAAAGGTCAGAAGAGTGAGTCAGATCCCCTGGAACTGAAGTTACAGACATGGTTGTTGTTAACCACCATGTGGGTACTGGGGATCGAACCTGAGTTCTCTGCAAGAACAGCTAGGGCTCTTAACCACTGAGCCATCTCTCCAGCCCATACAAATATTTTTAGGGTAGGAATATACAATTGAAAGTGAAAACAATGTGATACTTCCTTAAAGATTAAATGAAATTATATTACATAAATTCCACTTTAAGGAAAACACTCTAAAAAATGAAAAACAGAACTGCAAACAGGTATTTGTCTACTATGCTTCTTTTCTTTTTTAAAAATAAGACACGTTCCATGAATTTGCAGTTATCCTTATGCTGAGACCATGCTAATCTTCTTGGTAGCATGTCAATATTAGCATATGTGCTGCTGAGGTGAGCCCCACCTATGTTCTTAACAATACTAGTCACACAACTAACAGGTGGAAATAACTCAAGGGTCCACCTACAGATGAAGAATTTCAAAATGTGGGATATAATGGTGTATAATAGACTATAATCCAGTCTTAAAACAGAATGGAATTTAGTTATCTGCTGCATGAACGAATCTTAAAAACATACTAAATGAAAAAATCCAAACACCAAAGAGCAAACACTGTGTGATTTCACTAAGATAAGGTATGTAGAATAGACAAACTCATAGAAAAACAAAGTGTAATAGTAGATACTGAGGGCTGAAAGATGAGTGTGTTGTGTGTGTGTTTTTTTTAATGTAAGCGGAGTTTCAGTTTCGGAGGATGAACAAGCCTTGGAGATGCATAGTGGCGACAGTTGCACAATAATGTGAATCATTCATTTGAAATGGTTGGAAACATGGTTATCTATAACTTACATTAAAACATATTTTAAAAAATATTTTTATTTATTATTTTATTTTATGTGTATGAGTGTATAGCCTGCATGTCTGTGAGTGCACCTGTGTTGTGTAATGCCATGGAGGTCAGAAGAGGGCTTCGGATTCCCCTGGAACTGGAGTTAAGGATGGTTCGTAGCTGCCACATGGGTGCTGGGAATCGAACCCGGGTCCTCTGCAAGAGCAGTCAGTGCTCTTAACCACTGAGCCATCTCTTCAGCCTCCTAAAACATATTTTCAATAGTATAGAATGGCATTTGTTTGTAACCTCTTTTTATTCAATATCACAAATATCATCCCGTCTCCAGCAGAAAATGTTAACTTTCTTAATAGCTGGACACACATTTGATAACTACATTCTAATTTGGGTCTATGAACATCATGAAATTCAAGTTTACAGACTAGATCTCAAGTCTCTTTTTTGCTATAGCATTTAAGAACCTTCTTTACAAAAGTCAAAGTGAAAAAAAAGGTGAGTGGGATTCCGCCCTTAAAGTCATCTTTCAGGCTGTTGAGATGGCTTGGTGGGTGAAGGCTGATGAGCTGAGATCCCCAGAGCCCACATGGTGGAAGAGAGAACCAACAGCACAAAGTTGTTCTCTGACCTTCACATGCTTGCTGCAGCATGCGTACAGACAGACAGACAGACACACATGATAAAGAAATAAATGTAATTTTAAAAGGTCATACTTCTAAGTTTTTTCTTTTTACAGTAAAATTTATTTTTCTTTAATTTTAAATTACATGTAGATATGTCTGTGTGTGAGTATTCGCACATAGTATTGCTGCCAGAGGTTGCCAGAGGTGTTGGGTCTCCTGGAGCTGGAGTTACAGGTGATTGTAAAGAGCTGCACAACATGGGTGCTGGGAACTGAACTTGGGTACTCTGCAAGAACAGTATGCACTCTTAACTGCTAGCCATCTCTCCAGCCCCTTTCTCTCTTTTTTTAAAGATTTACTTTTATATTCAATTATGTGTTTATGTATCTGTTTGTGTGTGGATATGTGCACATGAGTGCAGCTGACCAAGAAGGCCAGGGACATTGGATCTCCCTGGAGCTGAAGTTACAGGCAATTGTGAGGTACCCGACTTGGGTATCTTCCTCTGGAAGAGCAGTATGTGCTCTTAACTGTTGAGCCATATCTCCAGCCCCCTAGTTTTTTCTTTTTAAAATTTATTATTATTTAATTATTTAATTATTTAAATTTTGAGCATATTAATGTTTTGCCTGCATATAAGTATGTGCATAATGTGCATGTCTGGCACCCAGGGAGGCCAGATGGTTGTGAGCTGCCATGTGAGAATTGGGAACTGAACCTGTGTTGTCTGCAAGAGCAGCAAGTGCTCTTAATCTGAGTCTGAGTCAACTCTCCAGTCCAGATTTTTGTTATTTAAAAAAAAATTTTGATGAATTATTTGAGAAGTTCTTGTAATGTATTTTGAGCACATTTTCCCCCTCCCTCAACTTCTCTAAGATCCGCCCCCACCTCCCAACTTCTTGTTCATTTTTTTTTTTTTTTCCCCGTTGAGTCCAATATGTGTTGCACAAATATTCTCGGGCATGAAACCGTCTCTGGATTGTGGTCAACCTACCAAGGGTCACACCCTTAAAGAAAACTGACTCTCCCTGTCCCAGCAGCTACCAAATGCCAATAGATCCTTAGCTAAGGGTGAGAGCTCGTGTCCACCTCCTCCTTCCCCCATCCTGGGATTTTGTCTGCCTTGAGCTTGAGCAGGTCTTGTGCGTGCTGTTGCAATTGCTGTGAGTTCACAAGTGCAATTTCCCTGCTGTCTGGAAAATGCTGTTTCCTTGTTAGTCATCCATCACCTCTGGCTCTTGCAATCTTTCTGTCTTCTCTTCTGAAAAGATCCCTGAGCCTGGGGTAAAGGGGTGTGACATAGATGTTCCATTTGGGTCTGAGCACTCTGAAGTCTTAGTCTCTGCATGTTGCATAGTGTTAAAGGGTGCTATGCATGCTTGGGAGGAGAAAAGTAATAATCATCAGTCTTAACCACCTGTGAGCCCTGTGACCTACAATGACTGGCCTGGCAAGATATGCCCACTAATGCAATAGTGGCACTAATGCTATGGATTGTTATGTATGATTGAATTTAAGGCCTGCTCCATGAGATGGAACCTGTACCTGCATTGTGATCCAAGCCTGTGGCTAGATATGTCATAGGCCCTAGGGGAAAACCTACTAGTAGTAGTCTACTAAATGGACACGGTATTACGATGATTGCTAATGACATATCTATAGATTAGTGCATCTCTCAACTCTCATCAGAGAAGTTTCTTGCAATAGCTCATGTGTGGTACTATAAACATAGCCAAATACACATGGAGAAGTCATAGGTCTAAAACCCCAAACTGTTATATCCCTAGAGTAATGTAATTTCTTACGATGTGAAAAATATGTGTCCTATGTGAAAAATATGTATCCTGCCGGGTGTGGTGGCACACTCCTTTAATCCCAGCACTTGGGAAGCAGAGGCAGGCAGATCTCTGTGAGTTCAAGGCCAGTCTGGTCTAGATAGTGAATTCCAGGACCGCTGGGGCTACAGGGAAACCCCGGCCTAAAAAAACCAAAAAAAAAAAAATTGTATCCTTATATTTACAGACAAATATCCCAGTTACCACTCATCAAAGAGGCTTCTTTTGTACAGATGGACGCTGTTACAGAGTACCACAACTAATCAAACTAATCATTCAGTCTATGAATTGTCCAAGCCTAAGTGGCACATCTACAATGCAGCCTCTACACCTAAGGCTCATGGAATATAGAACAAGGGGCAAAGAGGACACTAATGAATATCTTAGTTCTCATTAATGAAGTTCCTTGATGCAACAGAGAACCAGGAACACAAAAGGTCACAAATGGCCAAAATGTAGAGAACAAGAGTCCTTGGACAGGACTCCTATATTAAACTTCACCCACCCAGGGCTCAGGGACCATTTTGGAAGAAGGGGCTCAACCAGGGAGGAGGCATATGACCATATGGAAATAGAGTCCTACAAGCTCCTGGAACCCTGCTCATATGAACTTACAGAAATGGTGTCAGCATGTACAAGTCCCATGCAAACTTAGGCAGACAGAAACCCAGGATAGAACAGGGGAAATGGACACCAGACCCCAATCTTAGCTGAAGAAATACTGATTACTTCTGGGTGAGGAAGAGCTGATCTTCCTAAACAGAGGAACTCTAGATAGGCTGACTAGGCCTCAGTAGATGAATTTGCACTGAGGATTGTCTAGGGACACTAACTTGACATGATAGGCCTTAACACAAATGAAAGAATATATGAATTCCAGCGGGGGAGCTATGAAAGGTTGCTAGTGGGGACAGGGGTATAAAGATTGAGATGTTCTGTATGAAATACACAAAAATTCAATAAAAATTTTTAAAAAGCTATATCCCCCCCCCGAAAAAAAGCAATTAACGTAGAGGCCCACACCTAAGTTTTCTTTTTCCTTCCTTACCTGACTTCCCGCATCCTCCTTCTATATGGCAGAGAAGCCCATGAACAATGAAAAGGTATTAAATGAATTTATTTGTTATTTGCAGTTTCTTCGGTCTGCTTTTTACTGCAAGTCTGCAGCATTCTTTATTATCTATGTCAGCAAATTTCCCATATTGATCTGTTTTTCGCCTTCTCTGGTTAATCAAGCTTTCATTTTCTCTCCTCAGTTAGCTCAGAGTTTTTTGTGCCAAAAAGTGTCACTCTGTGCTCTTCAGAACCTTGCAACATTTTTAGGCTCCTTGTGGGCACATTCTTACCACTGATGTGCAATTTGTGGATTAGATGTAAAAATGCTAATGGAGCTTTGAGAAGCCTGCTAGGAGTCATATGTGTAACCCAGGTGACAGAGGCTTCCCAGCAGGCTGGTTTCCTGGGAGCTCTGCTGTGGGCTGAGGAATAGGTTCAGGTTTGCATAGGAAAGCTGCTCTTGTGAGTAGAGGAGAGATTTTGAAGAGATTTTTCTGATATTTTCACTTCCTGGTTTGCTGGTGTGGTATCCAGGGAAGGTGAACCACAGGTTTAGCACCATACAGCATGGAGAGATCATGCTGGTAGGGTCCCACAGGCTAAGGTCATATTTCTTTCCCTCACACTTTGTTTTGCAGACCTTGTTTTTCTTGTTTAAGAAAACAGACTTCATTTGAATTGTGTAACATGGTTTGCTCACTTACCAAACCTGTAAAAACCTGATTCTTTTTTTTAAAAAAACAGTCAACCTTAAGATTCCACTAAACAGTATCCTCAAGTCAGTATGCTTCCTTCTCAATAGGGAATGTCTTGGGTTGGTTTTCATTTTAAGATTTTGGGTTTGGAGTCAGACTTCTGAATTGAATAATAGCTAGCAATCTTGGAGAAGTTTTTGATCTTTGATTTTTTTCCCCCATAAAATGGAGGAGTGGGAGGAGTAACCACATTATAAGATTTTGAGGAGTACATACAACTCGGGATACAGGCGGCCTAGCACAGATATTAGTGCTGTTCGTAGTGAGCTTTGCATCCTTCCCCT